CTTTGCCTCTGTGGATCTGCTCTCCGCAGCCCACCCACCTTCCTCTCATGCTAAGGGCAGTGCAGGTGAGCGCTTTTCAGCCAGGGGCCCAGCTCCGGCTCTCCTTCCCTTCTTTGTAGGTGGAGGTCCCTGGAGCACCTTGCACCTGGCTCTGCTCTTCCTTCCTCCAGGCTGTGAGACATCAGGACCTGGGTGCTCAGTCTTTTGATCCCAGCATCTATCACAGCCCAGAGCAACACAGAGTAGGTTTTTGCTCAATGTACAGAACCAGACAAACCAATTGACACGTTCTTTCTCTTCCAGCTTCTGACTGCGTCAGGCCTCCTGAGCAGCCATCAAAACTAAGACTTTTAGAGGAGACGCATCTAGACAGCAGGAAATCACACATGCAGAATGCAGGCCTGGATGTCTGCATTTCAGACCCTAAGGCTCTCCCTCCTCCTGCCACTGCTACTGCAGATCTGTGCTGCTCTCCATTCATTCAGGAGCTGGGTCTCCCCAAGTCACATACACTGTTAAAACAGGCTCGACCTAGAAGAAATCCAATCGTACCATAATAAGCCCTTCTAAATGCTAAGAGTGATTCTCAAGTATACCCAGCCTAGAACCTGAGGTTGGCATTTTCAGTTAGAATTAGACAAGTCATAAGACTTTACTAGCTGACATGTCATGCTCCCCCAGATTAAAATGGCTGAGGTATTGTTTCCATCTTTTCACAGCCTGGAGTATCATGATCTAACTTATGTTGGGAGAGGGGCTCAACCCAAGGGTCCTGATGCTCCCTGCTTGAATGAGAGAGTTCTAAGACATTACTTAGGTTAACGTGTTCGCTGCTCAGATGTCCGTGAATAACTGGAGATGGACTAGAGAAAAGAAAGCTGAAGGAGAGGCAACATTCACCCCCTGTTCTGAGAACAATGCTGTACCCGGAAACAAATACAAGGTAACCCCAACAGGCAGAAAAGCACACACAATCCAGCCTTGCTCAGAAGACCTAGGCCCTATGTCCTTGATTGGAATTGTTGACAAAGTCCTTTGTGAGCTGGAGTCTCAGCTGTTAAGAATATGTGTTGTGCCGGGTGGTGGTGGCACATGTCTTTAATCCCAGCACTCAGGAGACAGAGCGAGGCAGATCTCTGTGAGTTCAAGGCCAGCCTGGTCTACAGAGCGAGATCCAGGACAGGCACCAAAACTACACAGAGAAACCCTGTCTTGAAAAACCAAAAAATAAAGAACACATGTTGATCTCTTATAGAGGACCTGGTTTCAGTGGTTTCAGTTACCGGCTCCCATAGGGCAGCTCACAACCACATATAGTTCTAGTTTCAAGGGATGCAGCATCCTTTACTTTGTGGGTACTTGTACACTCATGCACACACATACAGGCAAACATTATACACATAAAATATTTTTTTTTTTGTAGGAATGGAAACCTTACAATCTAGATAGTCCTACCCTGGAGGGGCATTATCCTATCAAGAGGCCAGAGAATTTGCTGGTGAAAGCATCTCCCGCCTTGCTAAGGACCCTCAAGAGTTTCAGTCATTAGGAAGGAAACCGCCTGAGAGCCTCATGCTGGAAGGCGAAGAAGTAGCATGTTAATGACTCCATGTTTTTGTCTGAAGATGCTTAGGAAGGCTCAGGCATGTCGAGGGCTGCAGAGCATCACACCCACAGCTCTCGTGGAAGGCTGACTGAGCCTGACCCTCACCAACACTGTCAGGAAATGTGCATCACAGGATGACAAGCCTGGAGTGAAAAAATAAAATAAAACAGAAGTAACAGAATCAGCAAGTTCACTGGCAGCAGAATGTTTAACAAAAATAGGGTTAATGACCACTTTATCTGTGGCAGCCATGAAACCACAGACAGCCCTAAGACAATGTAAGCATTTGAGCACTGGGTGAATTAGAATATTCATCAATTGTATCACTGTTCATCTCAGACACTCAAATGCTAAATAAAAAATTCATAGGGAAAAAAATCTGGATTAATTTAGTCCTAAATAAATCATCTACTGAACTGTGATAACATGTGGGACTGTGGGGGGTTCTGTCTTCCTAACATGCTATCTTGGGTTTTTTTCCCTCTTAAGGCAGAGTCTCCTGTGGCCTAGGCTTGCCTCAAATTCACTGTGGAGTCAAGAACGGCCTTGACTTCCTGATCTTCTTGCCTCCCACCTCATGCATGCTGCAGTTTACAGGCATGGGCCACCACTCTGCCTTGTGTTGTTGTTTTGAGGACAACAGTAGAAACAGCTGGAGGTGGAGACAGGAGGATCCAGAGTTCAAGGTCATCCTCTAGTGCATTTGAGGCCAGCTTGGGCTACACAAGAATTTGTCTCTTTTTTTTTTTTAATGAAAATAATAAACAGGTAAACTAGCCTAGCAGTAGCTTAGCACACACAGTTTTGAAAAGCTTTTAACAATGGAATGTACAAAAAAAATGAAGGAAAATTCACTGCTTTTCCATAAGTATAGCATACTGTCGTTAAAATTCCTCCACCAGGTAACAAATTCTGGCAAGCTGGACTGTACACTTTTTAAATTCTATGAGCAGATGTCACCTAAACATCATTAGTGCTTTTTACTGAACAGCTGTCAACGTGTAATTCTTCATACTTCCAAAACTCCTGTTTTCATGTGTCTTTTTCTTTCTCTTTTTTTCTTTTTTCTTTCTTTTTTTTTTTTTTTTTTTTGGTTTTTCGAGACAGGGTTTTTCTGTGTAGCTTTGCGCCTTTCCTGGAACTCACTTGGTAGCCCATGCTGGCCTCGAACTCACAGAGATCCACCTGGCTCTGCCTCCCGAGTGCTGGGATTAAAGGCCTGCGCTACTAACGCCCTGTGTGTCTTTTTCTAAGGCTAAATGATTATAAAGATCTCTCCAGTCTTCTTTTCCTTTGATATGTTTTTATCACAGTAAAATGCATATAACAAGATGCACCATTGTAACCAAGTAGAATACAGTTGAGTGGCTCTAAGTTTGTTCATACGCTTTCATAACCATCACCAGCATCCATCTCCAGTGTTTCTGTTTGTTTGTTCGGATCACTGATTTTATTTATTTATTTGTTTGTTTGTTTATTTTTGAGGCAGGTCCTTGTGTTGTAGCTCAGGTTGGCTTTGAACTCATGGCAATTCTGCCTCAGTCTCCTGAGTGCTAGGGTGGGTGGTACAAGTCACCATGCAGCCTCTTTAGGGCCTTTGTGTCTTCCCAAACTGAAATTCTATCCCTTTAAACACCCCAGCTCCCTGCAGCAGTGATCACTTTCCACATCTAAGACAGGCTGTGTGAATGTCTCATGTAAGGAGGAGTCATATGGTATTTATCGTTTTGTGACTGGTTTGTTTCCCACAGGCTGAAACACTTGCCAGAATTTCCTTTCTTTGTAAGGCAGAGTCCACTGTGTGAACACATCACATTGCTTATCTGGTCCCCCTTCAGCAGACCTTTGGATGGCTTACTGTAAATACTGCTCTGATGACTGCAAGTCTCTCCCTGGTCCCTGCTTTGAGTTCCTTAGCATGTATACCCAGCCGTGGAACAGCTGGATCCTGGTGCTTTTACTTCCAGTCTCCTGAGGGCCTGCCATGCTGTCTTCCAGAGCAGCTGTACCATTTTACCCATAGGCAGAGTACAAGATTTCTTTTTTCCACATCCTCCCCACTTTCTCCCAGTCTTCTCAGAGGACACTGCAAGACAGGGAACCTGTCCTTGCCTAGCATCAGGTTAGAAGGAGGTTCTGAGCCAACCCAAGACCTCTGGCTGCAATGGAGCCAACATTCCATAGGGTTATCCTAGCTGTTGAAAAAGAAAGGAGACCCCCACAGGAGCCATGGAAGGTAGTGACTCAATTTGCCAGCCTACCAAATGGTCCAAGTCTCTGATGCAGTTCCTGATCCCTAGAACTTGATCCACCCCCATGGACCCTTCTGATGAACTGTCCCATAAGCTTGGGCCTCAAAGAAAGATGCCATCTTACACATGACTCTAGAACCTTGGTTGGATGGCCAGCAACCAAGCCAAGGCTCAGTGGCTCCCTGTCAGGCATGTCCACACTTCTAGCTCCATATGCTTCAGAGGGGAGGTTGTCTACATCTGCGGTCCCCACACTGGAGTCTTCAGGGAGTTTCTGGCACCAGCCAGCCTACTTAAGTCTCTCCCTGTCCTTCACAGCTGAGAGGGGCAAGACTGTCCAGAATAGGTTAGTAATGGTAGAGGCAGCACTCCTGTCTAATGTGAGGGGACATGCCTAAGAGGAGCAGGCCTTAAGGTGGTATCTGTCCTCCAGGGAGTGGACAGCTATTGGCTCATTCTCTAGCTTGCTTTTCTGAGGTTTTGAGATGCGGAGTACTTTGCGCTGAGTTAGAGTCTAAAGAGAGGGATGATGTTTGGGCCTGGTCAGCAGAGTAGGAAAGACAAATGGGTTCTTCCTCAGAGCCTAGCTGGCTTCCCTTTTTTTCCAACTAGTGCTGAGAGGTTACAGTGTAAGATGAGCAGACAAGATTCAGGACGTGGCCCCATCAGGCTCTACTGCAGGGGCTGGGATGAGACTAGAAAAAGGTAACCACCATCTCTTTTTTGTGAGTGGACAGAGTGGAACAGTTGCTGTGATCCCCATGTTTGGGTCCTCTCAAAATTTATGTATTCAATTCTCATCCAAGGTGATGGTGTTGGGTGGAGCTTCTGAGAGGATTAGGTCATAAGGATAGCACCTCAGGAATGGCATGGGTACCCTCATAAAATATCCTAGGGAGAGACTTTCTCCTATATCACCCACACGCCTCAGTCTCCTCCCTGCATCCCACCCACCCCACCTAGGTGGCTGAGCAGGGTGCATGGTGGTGGCCCTTTTCTGCAGCACTAGAGCTCCAGACGTGCTCTCCTGCAGTTCCCCACCCCTTCATGCTTGGCGTTGGTGAGCCCTGCCACTCTCTAGTCACATCTCTGTCCCCTGTGGGTCTTCCTGTCACCATCTCTGCTCCCTCCCTCTTTCTTACCTTCATGCTGAGTGACTCCACTGTGTGCATGAGTGACTCTGTGGACCGGTCACTCAGGCCCTCAGCCTCCTCACTTGCAGTATTTTCTCCATTTCACCATATGTGCCCACCTGGAATGGCAGGGTGCAGTGTTGCTGGGAGCTCAGGGAATGCCACACAGCTTCAGAGCCTTTCTAAGAGGCAATAACTGCCCAACACTTACCCCTAATCCTTTGCCAGCTCATGTAGCCACTGGAGAAAAGCTGAGGAGTCAATAGCTGGGCCGGATGTTCTCTATCCCTGAGCTCAACATGGCATGCCTCACCACTTCCCAAGTCAAATTCTTTCTTATGTATCATTGTAAGCTCCATGGCATCACACAGACAGGCATAGAAAACACAGTCACAAGAAAGAAACTGCCGGGCGGTGGTGGTGCACACCTTTAATCCCAGCACTCAGGAGGCAGAGGCAGGCGGATCTCTCTGAGTTCCAGGCCAGCCAAGCCTACAGAGTCAGCTCCAGGACAGCCAGGGATATACAAAGAAACCCTGTTTTGAAAAAAAGAAAAAGAGAGAGAGAGAGAGAGGGAGGAAGGGAGGGAGGAAAGGAGGAAAAAAGGAAGAAAGAAAGAAAAGGAAAGAAACAGAAAGAAAGAAAGAAAGAAAGAAAGAAAGAAAGAAAGAAAGAAAGAAAGAAAGAAAGAAAGAAAGAAAGGAGGAAGGAAACCCAGTCCCACAGATCCCAGGAAGCAAGTCTGGGTGAGCACACACAGGGTTCTAACACTTACTATGGACCATGAGCTTCCCTCACCCCATCTCCCTGTGCTGAGCTCTCAGGAGAGAAGACTGGATCCACTCACATCACTCTTAATGTTCCTGGATAACATTCCACTGTCTTTAGGATAACTCCAAACCAGACATCTTCTGTCTCCTCTGTGAAATGGAAAAGCCACATCACTGACTCCTGATGTTTCTTCCAGCTCGGAACCCATGATTCAATGGCCTGACCTAAACTTGGTTTCATGCAAATGACTTCTCTCAGGCTGGCTGTACCAACCCCCAGAGCAGGAACTCTAGGCAAGACAGAGGCCCTTCTGTTCTTTCTGCTGAGCCTCCTCCTCACTGGTCTTCCAAGCACATCCCAGCATCTAGCCTGACCCCTGCGGAGCCATCATAAACCTTTCCACGTGCAGAGTCTGTGTTGGAGACTTCATATGCACCAGCTTTCAATTTCCCTCAGGCACCACAGGCCTCTTAGTACAAGGCAATATTATCTTCATTTCATAGAGAAGGAAACACACCCACATGAGTGAGAGGACCTGCCAGAGTCAGAGGGGACAAGTCCGTCCACAGGGACACTCCAGAGTGTCCTGAGAGCAGCAAACAACATCCTGCAGCCTCTCTTATGCTTCCTTTGCCCAACCCACACCTGTACACGCAGGTGACAGGGACAAGGGCCTGACTTAATCAAAACCTCATGTGTAATGGGGCTCTGACATCATTCAGTCTAACTGGCGACATTGTGCATTTGTGTTTACATTGACACTGTGCATTTGTGTTTGTGGTAAGTTTAGAATTTCAGCAGTGGCAGAGGCTGTGTTGATTTAGTTACAGACCCCAGAACGACGCTAAGTCAGTCATCAAAAGAAAGAAAACAACAAGTAAGAAAAAGGCAGTCGGCCAAGGAAACATAAACTATCAAGGAAAGAGGGTCTTGGAGTTCTGGAAATGGATAGCATCAAGAAAAAGTAAAGACCGGGGGCCTAAGCTCAGCAAGTAAATTATCCTTTTATTGTTTCAGGGAAAGGCTGTTCTTTCCAGGAAAATGCATGAAGGAGCCCCAGAGAATGTGGAGGCCTGATTGGGTCACCAGTGCTTTAACAACCTACAGTGTCCAGTAGGCTCTTTCCTCTCGGTCAAGGAAAGAGCAGCTGAAGTAAGGCAGTCCTGAGCCCTGGGGCATCCCTTGTAGCCGACTTGTATTGGGGCAGGCCTATGGCCTCCTGGGATAGTAGAGGAAGAAAGGTTTATCACCTTGTGGGCCACAAAACTGGTCACTCCAAGGGCACCTGATTGATATACGTGACAGTGGGGGACCCAGGCAGAACCCTGGTATCTGCAGGGATGAGAATGTGGAGTGATGGACATATAGGAAAGAGGAGAGGGAGGCATGGGGTACCCATGTAGTGCTGCAACCTTATGCCTGGTCAGCCTGAACTTCTGGAACAGAACAGGAAGTAAGAGGCAGCTTGTGTTGCCCAGGTATGGAGCTGCACCCCTGCACCTCCCCAATCCTCTATCCTCCCCTCACCCCAAATCTTATATTCAGGCTCCAAAGCAGAGTATGATCTTTACTTTGCTCATGTTCGTGTTGACATGTATATCAGAGGAAGGCCAAGGCAGGAAGGTATCCTACCACTCCCAGGGTGGCGGTGAGCTAACACGAATGGAGGAGGACACAACATCATTTGATTATATAGGATTTTGCAATGGGCACAATGGAACACGCTTATAATCCCAGCACTTAGGAGAGAGAGATAGGAGGATCAGGATTTCAAGGCCAGACCAGCTTCAGTTACATAGTAAATTCAGAGCTAGTCTGGACTTCATGAGATCTTGACTCAAAAAAAAAAAAAAAGTAAAAATAAGTGAAGAACTTTTCAATTTCCTGTGCTCTGTTTCTGCAAAGGACTACATTTGGTGGAGCTCTGTGTCTGAGGACAGTTTGCGAAGGGAGAGGATGCCTCAGTAGCCAAGGCCTCAGCTCATCACCCCAGCAGCAGGCCCATGCCATGCTCAGCAAATGCTGAGATATTATTGACAGACAAAGAGACAGAGAGGAATGTTGACAGTTATTACACGTCAGCTCTCCCCTCCAGAGAGCACTGCTCCATCACTAACTCCCGCTAGAACGGTGGAAATCAAGTTGTAGCTTTAATCACCCTGTGTTTACTCTAACCTGGCAATAGAGAGCTGTTTAATAAGAGCCAAGGAGGCAAATTGCTCATCCTTGTAGAGTGGCCCAGGTCTAAAAAGAACCTGGATGTATACAGATGTAAATCAAACACACTTCAAAGGGTTCTACCATGTGGATCTGAGGGCTGCACATGAGGAGCCTCAGATGTCATTGCCGTGGTGCCGAAGTAGACTGTTGATTGGAACAGGGTTAAATACACAGTCAGTCTTCATTACTGGCAGATCTGGGTTGGCCAATTCAGAAAGCACCGAAACTTATCTATAAGGCAAAAGTCAATGGTCATCTACTTTCATGGTCACTGGGAACACAGTGCAGTGAACATTGTCATCTTTGATGCACATGCTCCCGGTGGAGGCAGGACAGTGGAGGCCTGCCCTCTGGTTCAGCTCTCAAACTTTGGCAGACTGCGTGGCAACAGCTTTTCTTCCCTCCCTAGCAATTGTTATGCTTCCCCCTCCCCCCATGGGTTGCTGTTGCAAATGCCTCCTTCAAACACAGAGCTCTGAGTTCTGCAGGACTCTTAATAAGCGTGTCTTGTGTCAGGTAAGCTTCCCCCAGCCATGTGTTACAGTGAGTGCAGAGTCTGAAGTTAACGGCCCAGCGATGTCCATTGAATAAGTTGTCTTAAACAGAGGGGAGCCCACAGCAAGGTCACACAAAGATAGGTCGATAAAAAAAAATGTGACTATTTGCTCACAGGAATTTAATCCTGTGTCTCCCCTCAGGAGTAAATGTGCCATATTCACTAATCTGGCAGCTTTGCAGACCATACCTGTTATGGGTAATGAAAACTGACTGCATGTTGCAGCCAGGACTGTGGCTTGAACCATGCAGTGGATGGTAGAGTGGTTAATGACTTGGGGCCCACAGTGGAAGACAAGGGTATTATTAATAAGTAGTGGGCTTGACGAAATCCTTGCCTTGCCCTCCTTCCCGGAACTCTATGGCCTTATTTAGTTATCATGAGAAACTCCATGGCTGAAAAGTCTCTCATGTCTCCTGGAATCAAATCTTTCAGGGCACTTCATTTGGCCATGGACCTAATACCAATATTTCCCCATACCTTCCACCCCAGAGACCCCAATTTAACACCTCAGACTCAAAAGGACACAGTGGGATGCCCTCAGCAGGGTGGGAGAATTGCAAAAGGCTTTTGTAAGGAGCCTGGAGTTCAGATCAGAGACAGCACTGTTCAGAGGACTTTGGAGCACAAAAGGAAAGGCAAACTTCTCCCAAACAGGCTCAGATCCCGGAAGTCAACTAAGCTGGATTCCAGGAAGGTGGGGCAAAGGGGTCTGGGGAGGTGAACACGAATTGGAAACATTAGGGGGAAATGGCAAGGAGGGAAGGGCAGAGAACGAAAAGAAAAGAATAAGAGACTTGCGAGAAGAATCGACCCCTCGTGGTGGGGAGGGGTGGGGGGCTTTGTCACGGACCTAAGGGTACCCGACCCACAGAAAAGCCATCACTCTGGGATCCGACCAAACCCACTCACCTTGTGTTTGTGTTGTATAAATCAGCTGAGAATGTTTTTGTACTTTGAGGTTTTGATCCTGAACACACACACACACACACACACACACACACACACACACACACACACTAAATTGGCCTAGACAAATTAAAAGCTGCCTTTTACAGAAGTTTGTCAACCCCACACAAGAGCATGTCACTCAGCACGTGTCCTGATAGTCGCCAGGAGAACAGAACAGCTCAGGCTATGGAGCTTCATGTCGGGCATGGTATGAAGCTAGAGTATTCTCTGCTTCCTGAAAGAGACACCTGCAACCACGGCTGACCACCGGAGTCGGGTCTTTGGATTTTGTATGATCAAATGATATCTGAAGAAAAGCAACAACAACAACAACAACAACAACAAAACCCCACAGCCACAGAAAAATCAAATCTCTGACATCGGTACATAGATCTAAAAGATTTCTCCTTCAAAGAAAACTGCAACAACCAGGCAGTGGTGGGGCACACCTTTAATCCCAGCACTTGGGGCAGAGGCAGGCAGATCTCTATGAGTTGGAGGCCAGCCTGGTCTACAGAGCGAGTTCCAGGACAGCCAAGGCTACACAGAGAAACCCTGTCTCAAAAAACAAAAAAACAAAAAGAAAGAAAGAAAGAAAACCCTGCAACATACAGTGGCACACTTGGGAGGGTGAGACAGAGACTTGTTAGAATCAAATCCAGCATGAGTACAAAACCAAAAGAAAAAACATTAAAGATGTATTTTATTTTTAAGTGTGTGTGTGTGTGCACAGGCAAGCACATGCTGAGTACAGGTGATCAAAGAAGTCAGAAGAAGATGTCAGATCTTCCAGAAGCCGGAGTTACAGCTGTCGTGAATGGTGCCTAATGTGAGTATTAGAAACCAAACTTAGGTCTTCTGGACGAGCAGCATGTGCCCTTAACTGTTGAGCTGTCTCTTTCTAGCCTCTCTAATGCTTTTTTTTTCCATTTAAGATACATGTATGGGTGTTTTGTTACACGTATGTCTGTGCACCATGCGCATGCGGTGCTCCTGGAGGTCAGAAGAGAGTGTTGAATCCCCTGGGATTGGAGTTTAAGACATTTGTGAGTGGCCATGTGGAGGCTGGGAATCAAACCCAGGTGCTCTTGAATTGTAGACAAATCTTAACACTGAACCATCTCTCCAGCCACCACCACCCCTCCAGTGATTCACTTTTAATCACACAGCTGATAGTGGAGAGAGACCCTTTTCTGGTCAAAGATTGGAGCCGTGTTACTTCTTTCTAGCCCTTACTGGGGTGAGGGGTGGGCTTGTTGGGGCCCCTGG